GGCCCGAGGGCACCGCCCGGCGGAGGGCGCCGCCGCCGCCATCTTTGTGTCGGGCGAGAAAGGGCGGAGGGGGGCTGGATGCCCTCACCCCGCCAGGCCTGGACTGTCCCCCCGACCCCGGCCAGGGCTGCGATAAGGCGGAGCAGGGGGACAAGTAGGGCAGGGGGTGCCGGCTGTCAGGCCCAGCTGTGCCCCACACTACCCGCGGCCCCACATTCCAAGAGGGCCAAGGAGCCTGACTGCTGCCCTCGGACCCCCCGGGACATGTCCCCTCGCCTCCCTGTCCCTGGGCATTTTGGGGGTGCAAGCAGGCCCCATCTCCAAACGGGGCTTGTTCCCCCAGAGCCCCCCCGGCTGCCCAGCACTGCCGGCTGTAACCGCAGCCGGGCCGTAACCCAACTCCCTCGCGTCTGGTCTCCCCCTCTCTGGGCGCTGACGGCTGGCGGGGAGACAGCAGGCGAGGACGGGGCTCTGGGAGCAGCAGCTCTGGGGGTGGCTGAGCTGACATCGGTGGGGGAGAGACCTTCGAGCACGGCTGTCCCCTGTCCAGGTGCTACAGGGCTGAGGCTGGAGCCACCATGAAGAGCCTGAGGGCCAAGTTCAAGAAGGCAGACGTGAGTGCCATCCCCAGGGACATGGGGACATGGGGACCTGCCCTGGGATGTCCACGGGGACATGGAGACCTGCCCTGGGGTGTCCCAAGTTTCACAGGAGCGTGAGGGCACGGGGATCTTCTCCAGGATGTCCCCAATGTCACAGGGACATGGCGACCTGCCCTGGGACGTGGAGTGGCTGCTCACGATGGGGACAGCAGCCCCATGGAGGTCAGCGCTGCTGCCCTGGCTGGTGGGATTGAGCTCCCGGTGCACCCAAGGGTGCTCCCAGGGCCATTGCTGGGAGTGGGGCAGAGCAAAGGAAAAATGCAGCAGTAGGGAGAGGGAAGCGGGTCCCAGGTGCCCTCCCTGTCCCCTTCCTGGGGATGGCTGCCAGCTTTCCAGCTGCCACAGCCAGTGGAACCAGCATGTCAATGCTCCTCAATTATTCAGCACCAGCCTGGCACAGGGCCACAGGCTCTCGCCATCCTCCACACTGGGCAGAGGGTGACAGTGCCGTCCCCAGTGCTGCCATGTGCACTGGGGACACGTGGACACAGGTTGAAGTCCCCCACGAGGAGTCTGTGGACTGCCCTGCTTGGGGTGCTCTGTGCCTCAGTTTCCCCACACTTCTCCGAGTGGGGAGGTGTGAGAAGCTTCTGCTGTCCTGCCACCCCCACAGCTCTTCGAGGGCTGCTGCCCGGGGACCCTTTGCATTTTGGGGTTCCCTCCCTGAGGGGAGTTTGCTGAGCTCCTGACATGCAGGCAGGGGGTCCTGCCCCTCCCTTGGCCCAGGGCTGTGGTGGGAGGTAAGGCTGTGCCCCCCAGGGCAGGGCAAGGGGTCCCATGTCCCCCTCCTCAGGGAGTAGGATCTGGGTGGCAGGAGGATGCTCACGCCCTTGGTTTGGGGGTGCATTGCTGCCTCCCCTTGAGCATGGGATGGGAAAGCTGCCCCCCCCACAACCACTTGATCTGGGACTAGCACCCAGACTGGTCCCTGACCGGGACCTTGGTACCTGCTCCGTGGCAGGGATGAGGGGGTGCCTGGAGCTCTGGATGCTGAGGAGGGAGGGAAGGAGGGAAAGAAGGAGGGACGGAGGGATGGAGGGAGGCGGATCCCGGCTCCCACTGCGGCAGGACCCGGCCCCCGCCCGGGCAGCGATGCTGGACCGAGCTGGGGTCTGGGGTCCACGGCCTGGAGCCCCAGCCTGCCCTCGCCCAGGCAAGGGGCAAGGGGTGCATGGCTGCCCGCCGCCTCCTCCTCAACACCATGAAGCAGATCTGCCTCTGTGCCGCTGCCTCCTTCGCGGTACGTCCCTGTCCTCCATCTCCACTCCCCTTTGGTCACGTCCTCCGGGGTAAGCCGTGTCACCCCCACCCCACCTGGACCCCCTCCGTCCCCATCACTGTTCTGTCGCTCGGCTGCGTCCTCTCCAACCTGCTTTGTCCTTGCATGACAAGAGGAGGAGGGTGTGGGGGGGTGTGGGGGGGGAGCAGGCACCACCCTCCCAGTTTGCCCAGTAACCCTGGGATACTGGTTTATTCCCCAGCCCTGGATGGGGTCCCCTGGCCCCACCGGGCTGGAAGGGTTTGTAGGGTCACCCGGCGGGCACAGCGACACAGGTCCTGTGCCTGGCACCGGGCACCAGGCTAGCGAGGGGCAGGATGCAAGCAGCTCCAGAAAGGTGACATCCATTTCCTGCCACCGCGGCCGCAGCGAGCTCCGGTTTGTCGTCACGGGCTGCGGGGTGAACCCAGGGCTTCCCGTGCTGGTCCTGTCCCGCTGCGGGTTGCTCCCGCGGGATGGGGATGCGCAGGACCACTGGGTCAGCAAGTCCCCATCCAGCCCCCAGTCCTGCGCAGGGGTGGGGACAGCGTTGTGTCTGGAAGGCTGGAGCCATCCCGGGGGAACTGCTCTCGGTGCCAGCTGTGCTCATCCTGGCTTACTCCCTCCAAAGCAGGGCTGGGAAGAGCGGGGAGAACTGGGCAGGGGTGGGGCTGAGGCGGGTGTTTAGCGGTGGGGTTTTTTGGGATGGCAGGGGCAAACCCTGGGGCAGGGACAACCAGGCAGTGTTGGCTCACTCCCAGATCCTGGCTGGTCACAGCCCGGCCCATCCACAGCTAAACTGGGGCAGGGGGCTGAAGGGGATCCTGATCCCAGTCAGCTGTCCCAGCTAATCCCTCCCTACCTCGGGGCCAGACACCACAGCACCTAGGAGAGGGGTTGGCGCAGAGATGGCCACCCCAGGGGACAGGGATGGGTGGAAGATAAGAGGGATGGGGATGAGGACAGGCACCCAAGCCCAGCCAGCACCCTGCCTGTCCCTGGGGACAGCACACCTGTCACAGCCTCCTCTTGGCTTCATTGCAGAGCCAGGACTGGACCAAGAACGATGAGAAGCTCCTGCAAGCTGTGGACTACAATGATGCCGGGAAGGTGACATCTCTCCTCGTCCGCAAGGGCCTGGTCCCCACCAAGCTGGACTCGGAGGGCCAATCTGCGTAAGCGCTGACCCACGTCCCTGGGACACGCAAGGCTGGGGACAAGGCTGGGGGCTGGGGACATGGGTCCGACAGCCCCTGGTCTTGCTGCAGGTTCCACCTGGCCGCCATGCGGGGGAACGTGGACTGCCTGGAAGCCATGCTGGCTCACGGCGTGGATGCCATGACCAAGGACAGCTCGGGTGAGGGCATGGCCATCACATGCCCCTGGCTAATGCCATGGACCAGCTGGGGCCACTGGCGCTCCCCAGTGTTGAGGCTGAGGGGACAGAGGGGACAGCCAAACCTGTGGGGCATATAAATTGTCCCAGTGTCCTACAGGAACTCAAGCACTGACGGTGCTCTGGTCATGTCCCCTTCCTATTCAGCCCCAGTCCAGCAGATCCTCTTGTGTGCCCATCTGCCTGTCTGTCACCCAGCAGTCCCCTCTGCCACTGAGTCGCTGTCTGTTCTCTGACCCGTCTGTCTGTCCTTCTCCTCAGGTTACACTGCCCTGCACCTGGCATCCAAGCATGGCCACCCACAGTGCGTCAGCAAGCTGCTGCAGGTACCGGGGCTGGAAATGCTGTGCTGCAAGGGAGGGAGGGTGCTGTGCCAGCGTGGTGTCCTTTCTGTCCTTGAACTCCCTTCCCTCACCAGTAGCGTTGGTTGGCGTGGTGGTTCCCAGCTCTGCCCAGCATCCTCTCGGCCCTCCACCATGCCAAGGAGCCACGTCCACTCAAGCAGTCTGTCTGTCCTGTAACCCAGGCTCTCTCCCTCAGGCCTCCTGCCCTGTGGATGTGGCCGATGGCAGCGGCCGAACAGCACTGCATCACGCAGGTGAGTGGGGACAGTGTCAGCCCTGTCCTGCTCATGTCCCTGTGGGAGGCAGAGCACTCAGCCTTTGTCCTTCTCCCCAGCGGCCAGTGGCTGCATCTCGTGCTCGGAGATCCTCTGTGATTTCAAGGCTCCCTTGAACATCAAGGACAAGGTGAGATTCCTCTGCTCCTCGCCCTGCCGTGCTGTGCAGCACAGCAAGGACCCAGGCTGGGGCTGCCTCTGAAATGCAACAGCTTCTGGGCTAGCAGTACCTGGGGTGAAAACACACCATGGGTGGGATGTGGAAATCTGGGAGATAACGGGAGCGGGATGTTCTGTGGGGAGATCCGAGGCTTATCTGCACATCCCCACCCAACCTGACCCTGCGCAGGATGGCTCCACACCGCTGATCCTTGCTGCCAAGATGAGCCACTCGGAGCTCTGCCGGTACCTGCTGCACCGCGGCGCGGCTGTCAACAGCCGGGACCTGCAGGGGAGGTGAGTCTGCACTGATGAGGACTGGGAGTGGAGGGGGAGACAGAGGGAATGGGCCGCCTCACCTCTGCTCTCACCTCTCCTCTCAGGACAGCCTTGATGCTGGCCTGCGAGAACGGCAGCGTGGAGACGGTGGAGGTGCTCGTCAATGCCGGTGCCCGAGTGGCCGTGGTGGACTCCACAGGTCACGATGCTGCACACTACAGCCTGGCCACAGGCAACGCTCTCATCCAGCACTTCCTGCAAGAGGCTGCTCAGCGCCGGTCCTGGGCCAGCGGTAAGGCAGCCGTGCTGCCCCAGTGCTCCTTGTCCACAGGGGATGGAACCACGGGGGTGTTTTCACCCTTCAGGGTGCTTTGGGGCAGGGCTGGCAGAGGCTGGGCATGGCTGGGGGGCACACACCCCCTTTTCCCACATGCTGGGGGTACCTTTGCCTGTGCTGTCACCAGCTGAGGGCTGCGGGGTGGTACTGAGCCTTCACTGCCCATCTCAGTGTCTGCACATGCTTGCACATGCATGTTCATGCGTGTTTTCAAGCACAGGGGCATAAGTGTATCAGCCAGTGTGCACGTGTGTCTGTGTGTGCATGTCTGTGTGCATGTGTCTCCCGTGTCTGCACATGCGTGTGCATCCCCACAGTTACACACCCATGTAGTTCTGTGTGTGCCCCTTGCACATGCCTCCCATGCACACACGTGTGTGTGTACCCCACCAAGTGCCCACCCCTGTATGAGCACGTTCAGAGGTGCCCCTGCACCCATGCGGGATCTGCCTACCCCTACAATCCCCTAAACCTCCCCAATTTCTCTTTCCTCCTGCTCTGCCCAGCAGAAGAGGAGTCAACTGAGCAGACGTCCCAGGTAAGGGCCTGCTTGGCTGCCCACCTCTCATCAGGGCTGCCCTGGCCCCAGCCCCTGGTAGGGGGTCCCTGGGAGCCCTGGGACCCTCCAAGGTGGAGGTCAGGAAGGAGGGAGGGCAGTTTATATGTGTTTATGTGTTTATATACTTTCTGCCTTGGTGCCTCCACAGACGTCTTCACCCAGCCAGTCATCTGTCAGGGAGAAGAGCGGCACCCCAAGGAAGAGAAAGGCCCCTCTGCCTCCCCTGGGCACCCCCAGCCAGGTGAGCCATTGCTCCCCCTTGGCTCCCCATCTGTACCCTGTTGGTAGCCAAACCGTGGCCAGCTCAGGGAAACTTTTCCAGCTTCACCCACCCCGGCAGTGGCAGGGATGCTCATGGGCCGATCTGAGCTGCACCTGAGGCTTCATCCCCACTCCCAGGGTGTCTGCAGCACCCCAGACCCCAAGACGCTGCTGTCGGCAGGGTGGGGGCCATCAGCCCCCTTCTATCCACCCCACGGGCCCAAAACACCCCTCACCTGGGGGGC